CCTCTGCCACCGAGAACCCACACCCCGACCCGCAGGTGGCTACACTAGAACCTGAACACCCCGATCTCCGACCCCCTACACTAAGTTGCTAAGTTCTGAATCCCTACACTGTTGTTGACTGTTCTGTTCATGTGTGCCTGAACTCATAACTTTCAATCAGATATTGGAATGCAAGAATGTGAAATGAAGCCTCCACCTCTGCTTGTAGAATCTTGGATGTTAAGTTTCATGGTTGCCAATTTGAGTTAACTGTTTGTTTGTACTCGCCATTTTCTAGAGCAACATCCTGTACTACCGCACTGTTCATTCAGTAATAACTTGTTGAGAACAGCAAATCTGCAAATATGGAGCATGTTTGTCTGTTTGTGTGCAAATGTAAAACTGTTGGACTCCCAACACTGATCCTCCTCTGTTTTCTCATGTGTCAGATAGTTATCCTAATGTGGGCCGGTAACAATGTCACGAGGCCGTTCCGAGTTGCTTGCAGCTGCTTTAGCACCGGTGATCGACAGATGGTTGAAGGGTAATCAGGAAAAACTTAATCTTCCGAGCCAGATATACGCTTTTCTACTTGTGGTTGGATCTGTGGCTGTGTTATGCTTCACAGTTGCTAGTTTCCTGATCCTCTCAAAATGTGGAAAGTGAAAATTGAAGAGTCAATCCCAAGATGGTAAAGTTTTTGCTTTAACCATGAGTTGTCTGAATACCGAAACCAAATGGGCCAGTTTAGTTTGCCTCACAAATCTTATGTTCCTTGCCCTTTTCCAAGGACACATAAGTGTCAGGTGGTTAATTGACAACGTGTACAAGTTCTGTTGAGCAAGGAAAATTGTCCTTGCAATTGAGCAGTAACAAATTCACTCTCCACTTTTCTGTGTCTTTGTTTAAACTTTGAAGGACTTTTGCATTTAGGATTTAGCGAAGTTTACATGACCCTGTACCATGAGCATGAGGCTTTCAAGGGTTTATTGTTGGACAGGCTAAATATAGTTCTGAAAATATTCGTATCAAGCTAATCGGGTTTATTCTGCTTACCTACCAGATAAAAGCAAAAAAATGGAACATGTTATGTGGCTCTGTGCACATTAATGGTACATAAAGGACAATTTAAAATATACATATATCTTGATATCTGATTGTTACATGCCTTCTCCTTTCCCATGTGCACTCTACATAACATATGCATATACTACAGGCTTCAAGCGTTCATGAATTTCTTCAGCAAATTTAACATAACCACAGAGTAAGTCAAACTTGTGACCAAGCATCCTAAGCACTGCCACAGGAAACAAATTCTAACAGAAAATAGTGAAACTCACAAAAACTGTCAGCATGCTGAAACATATCTCTATTTCCTCTGCTGGTTAATCTTCAGATTTAACTCACCCTTGCATTCCTCTCGAAGACAGGTCATATCCTCCTTTTATATTCAAGTCTAATAAGAGCAGGTCCTCAGTTTTCGGGGTGCATTTGACACTCTTAGCCTCCTGACTTCGTACACGGTAGAGCTGAAAATCCAAGTTATTATCATGAAGATTGTCATCAGACATATCTTTCACCAACTGTTCACCGCTTTCTTCATACACCTGTCTTCCATTCTTCGTGAGACCCGGAAGAGCTAGGTTGAAATCCGTGAGCTGTGATCTGGTATTTTCTAGGCCAGCAGATCCATTTGCATCAAAGGAAATGTTTTCCTGAGCTTTCTCTAGTATTTCCTTTAAATACCTCCCTTGGGCCTCTATTCGCATCTGTAGCTTCTTCTGCACCTGATCGCAGATATATATAAGCATTTTTAACCTACGCCATGGTACAGAGTTTGGGAGTATAAGCAGTGATGCAGAACTTGTCTAACCTCAAGTTGTTCGCACAGTTCTCTTTGGACCTGAATTTGATACCTGAGGGTATCCTCAAGCGGCATTTCTCTGATTCACACAAGAAATGTTTTGGAAATGGTTAGTTAAATCATCATACAATCTCAATCGAAGAAAAGGACACATAGAAGACGCATGACAGTAATAAGTAATCAGTAGGAGTAGGATTTCATCTTGGTGCCTCTGTATATGAAACTTTACATATATACTTTTGGAATGGCAAGTTATTATTTTTAGAGCCAAGAAAAGCTAGTACTTGCTATTAAGGCCCTGTTCGGAGACCCGCCACTCCACCACTCCGCTCCCGGAGCTGGAGTCAAAAGGCACGGAGCTGGGAAAGAGATGCTCCAGCTCCTCGTATTTTTAGGAGTTGGAGTGACTCCAAACAGGGCCTAACTTGTACAAGTACTGATCAGATCTCACTTTTCAGTTATACTAGACTATCCAGTCCCAATTTCTGGTTCGTGTTTGTTCTATCCATACTTTCACAGTCCCATGCAGGCAAAAACAATAATGCTCCATTTCTAGATTCCTGATGATCTCTGAGAAGTTAGCTCTAGCACATGATGCCTTTTAGTTGACTAAACAGAATGCAGCGGGATGGCGCGCATCTTCGAGGTAAACTCATAATATACTGTTATTGGCTATTGACAATATTTTTAACCTATCCTGGTAGACAAAAAAAAAACAGGTATTTTGCTTGCAGATAGGTCCAGAGGGAGAGGAGAAATGTCTAGCCAGTTACCTTGCGGTGTCGCGTCCAGCAGGAACAACCAGAGGCGCACCGATTTGGAAGCTGATGTCTTGCGAGGTAAACTCTGGTAAAAACAAAGATAGCAAGGTTGGAGTTTAGATGGGGAAACGTTGGCTTGACTGCATTTTGGCGTTGGCTGTGGCAGTTGCAAGGTGTATGTGTGTACCTCCATTGTTGGCTAATTCCAGGTCTGTGGATTTCTTGGTGTGCTTTCCCAGCCTGTATTTCTGATAAGATAAAACAAACATCGCTGTTAATTAGTAAGCATACGTAGTACAGCACTGGACTGGACTGCAAAAGAGAAGAGGAGAGATATGAGCGAAGAGCAGGACTGGTGCACAGTTGTTGAGCAAAACCTGAAGGTGGCTTTTCAGGTGGTACAGAGTGAGGCCTTTCATGGCCATCAGCCTGAGCACTCCCTTTGGCGTCGCTTCTGTTGCAGGCAACAATAATGATCAGTATAGTTAAGCTGATGGTCAAAAGAAGCAAAGTTTGATCAGGCACATGATCGCCGGCGTTGCACTGTGGCGTGACGAGCAGGGGAAGGAAGGAGCAATAAAGAGGACTCACTGTCGGGGCCGCCGAGCCTGGCGACGGCGTGCACGAAGCGGTCGTGGAGGTCCGGCGTCCACCGCAACCGCTGCTTTGGATCCCGCGACAGCGCCGCCGCCCCAGCCCCAGCCCCAGCAGCACCTCCGCCGTAGCTCATCCCCTCCATCCCTTCAAACATCTTGACCCGATCGGCTGCTCCCCTGTCCTTGCAAGATCAAGCAAGCTGAGCTCCTCCCTTACTAGTAGTAGCATATAACGCGGTCTTGCTGACTGAGGTGGTGGTGCTGGGAGAAAAGATACGTTGCGCAAGTGCGAAGGCTACGCGAGGACAAGGAGACGGGAGGCAGAGATGTTCGATCCGGAGCGCAAGACGACGAGAGGAGTTAGCGGAGATGGTGGCGCGGGAGGAGGGGAGGGGGGCATCATGTCATGTGTCTGTGCGCGGAACGGAATCTACTCGGCCCGCTCGGCCCGGCTGTGGCTAGTGGGTGCAGCGCACGCAGACGCCACAAGAAACAAGACGACAAGCCGATGGACGACGCCGAGCATCTCGGCGACGGCGACACGCCACGCCCAACCAACTGTGACGGTCGATCCAGCACGACGCCGCCGAGGCGCCGATGGTAACCTACTGTGGTCTGTGGCTGCGTACGTAGTAGGTACGTAGGATATGACGCTGCACACATGCCTTGTACGTAGCACATCCCATACATATTTGGCATACACTGCCGCTCACCACTCATGGCATCTCCAACGTCGTGCCCTAGGACACCTTATCTGCCTACGGACCGATGAGATCAGTTCGCGGAAAGTGAAGCGAGAGCCAGGCATCCAACACATTTCAAAATAAAATTAAACAAATCGGACAAATCTTGTCAAACACATCGGATTTCAGCATAGCTTGAACATAATTTACACAAAACGGATGATATTTCGATTGTTCAAAAAAACCTAGAAGGCTAAGTTGTAGCAGACGACGACCTTCTACGCGTGGCCGCCCTGTCCGGCCACACCGTCGTGTCATCATCGTCGTCCTTCCAGCAACCGAAGGGCGCGAGGCCGCGACAACCTTGCTCGGCCGTCGCCAGGCGCTCGTGGAGGAGCCAATGTGCTCCTCCTACACCGTGCGAAGGGCCGTCGCGGTCAATGCCCACCCCGGCGCCGGTACCCTAGCGGCGGCTTTCGCACCGCCGGCATTGGCAGAGGTGTCGTTTTAGCGACCATTCCTCGCCTGAG